AAAAAGAGGAGGATTGGAACAGATGTTAGCTCAGGGCTAATCTTCCTCACCAAAAAAAATATATATATATATAAAAAAAGGAACTCCTAGAAATGACAGATAAACTCGTAGCTCAAAACTCAGTGGACCATTTTAACAACATACTTGAAACTGGTGAGGAAGGTATTAGTAAACCTGAAAATAGAATTGAAGGAAATTATCTAGAATGTCACCCCCAAAAAACAGAGATGAAAGTTTGAAAGATAAGTTAAGAGTCATGGAGAATAAAGTAAGAAAGTTTAACATATATCTAATAAGAGTTCCATAAAGAGAGGAGAGAGAAACAATGAGAAATTCCCTCAAATGATGAAAGACACCAATCCACAGATTCAAGAATTTCAATGACAACCAAGCAGGATAAACAAGAAGAAATCCAGAGTTAGATAAATCATTGTAAAATTATTGAACACCAAAGATAAAAAGATATTTAAAATAGTCCCCTTCAAAAACATATTACCCTCAAATGAGCAATAATTAGGCTTCTGTTGACTTTCCAATAGCATCAATGCATGACGAAAGACACTGAAATGATATCTTCCATGAGGTGAAAAAAAAATAACTGCCAATCCTGAATTCTATATATAGCGAAAGTAGTTTTCAAAAGTGAAGAAATGTAAAAACAGTTTCAGAAACAAAAACAAAGAGAGTCTGCCAACAACATACCCGTACTGAATAAAAATTTAAAGTATTTATTCCAAGCAAAAGTAAACTCCTTTCCCTTGGAAATGCCAATGTGGAAAAAAAAAAAAAGATGAGAAAAAGAATTAAAAAATTTGGCAAAAATGTGAATAAAGTTAATCCAACATTGACTAACAAAGCATTAACAATACTATCTCATCAAGTTTTAAAAAGATAGAATTAATATATATTATCTTATGAGATAAGAAGGAGCTAATTAGAAGTACTTACTCTATGCCACAAAACCCACTCAGATTAACACCCCAAATGGCAGAGACCCATAATATACAGCAGTTGTAAAATTTTGAATACACTCAGTCATAGAAAAAATATTTTTTTCACATTACTCAAAAATTGCCATCTCAACTTTAAAAGAAATTGACACATGAGTTCAGACTTTTTTTTTTTTAAACCAAATGGCATATTCAACTCCGCAGGATAATGGTTTGTTTGCTCTCTAGGAGCATAACAGAGATAGATTCAAAAGCTGTGTTCTCTTGAGCCCCATCTTATGGCAGATAAGTAAATTTCTGTCAGTCCTCTTGGAATGGATAGAGATGCTCACAGTTATCATCTAGCAATATAAGTGAGGGAACTAGCCTTGTGTACCAAAGGAAACCTGAAATTTTATCATCGCTTTTTTGTTTTATATATCTACAATATTCACATTTTTAAAAATTACTGGCTAATAAATTGTGGACTTCTTAATATCTTTTTCATCAATTTACTTCTCTATCATAATAGTGGAAGAAAGCCCAACAGACTTACAGAATAGCTTATGTATTTAAACATTAGTTTCTAGGCACTGTAGAGCCATTGAATTTTTTTGAACAAAGGAATAATATAATTAGAGCTATGCTTTTAGAATGTTATTCTGGAAATGATCAACATTTGCTAAGGGTAGAAACCACTTAGCCATTGAAATTGAAAAGCAAACCCAAAAGGAGAATGGACTACATCTATTGATTGCACTTCTGCTTTGTAACATTTGTATCATTTGTATGCACGTATATATATAATGTGTGTGCACACACATGGACACACAAACATATACATATATCAAGACAACTTTTTTTTAAATAAAAATATTGTTGTCAATAGTATTTATCAATAAATTCTCCTGGTTAAATTTTGTTGCTCTTCTGACTTCTAGTTACTCTCAATAGGGATCTATGATAAAGAAGAGACTTTTATTTTACATTGAGTCATTTAGTCAGCTTTTCTTTAATGTGTATTATTAAATTTATTTACCTAGATATAAAAGCCACAGAAATCTGAGCACACAGATTCTATAAAAAATGCAAATTAGTGGAAAAATCAGTGCTTTACAATTTAATGTAAAATTTTGAAAAGAGAAAATATCTCTGCTGTTTAAAATAAAGCATCATGAAATGAAGTAACATTTTTAAAAAGTCATTTTTTTCACTACATTTATAGATTGACCTCATGCATTCTTATATAAAGTACCGTTTTTTTCAAAGGAAAGCTACCAAGAAATATAACCTGGTATTCACAGTTTGATAAATCTGAAACGTGTACTTCCAATTGAGAGATACAATTGCAAACAACAGCCTGCACGAACGAAACAGAGAAAAACTGACTGAGGAGACACAATAGAATTGAGTGTACCTTTGGAAGCTAGAACTGTAATCCAGTTTGTAAGAAAATAAAGAATGGAAGTATTGGCCTAAACTCCACTGAATCACAGAAACCTAACACAATACAACACAAGTGACATCCTTTTCTCAAAGAGGCGCAAGGCTCATTGAGTCTGGCGATTCAATTACCCTCTGAACCTGGAAAGAACCCCCCTCCTGAGTTGAGGTTCACTGGCAGAGCAATGTGGGACAGCCTACATTGTACACAGCTGGTAAATATCTAAACAGCTGCAGGCTTTAAAGAACAAGAATCTCTGACCTTTTATGATTGCTACAGGGATTCTTCAACAAAACACTACTTACAATAGAGTTCCTTAAATGCCTGGCCAAAGATTACATTTTCAATTAAATATCTCCAAAACCTTCTCTTCACATGGAAATCTGTTTAAATAAATACCTAAGCGCAATGCTTCATTAGGTAGTAAAGAATATGGGCAAATTAATGAAGCAGAAAGAAGTTTTCCCAAAATAAAGATGATTCACGCCTTGCTTAGACATTTTATAAACTTTTCAAAGAATACCATTATTCCCTTTTTGTCTCTTTTTTCTATAAATTTGCATAGACCTTGAATGAAAGGAGTATGCACTAATTGGAATCACAAAGTGACTACTGAATTCTGGAATACCTAGGGAAATTTTAGCTAGCATGGATCTTCCAAGATGGTCCAACATAATTCTATTATCTCCTCATGCTTGAAGTCAGGAGGGCTCCCTTGGATATAATTTTAGCCAAAACATCTTAGACTTCAAACTTTGGACATTTTGCTTCACTCCTTTTCACATGAGGTCACTATTAAACAAATAAGATTTCAAATATATGTTTCACATAAATTATTTATTTTCACATACAAGACAAAGGTCCTGTGATGATAGATGTTTGGGATACTACAAAGTTAATAAATGAGATCCTTTCCAGAATTCATCTTCTTAATTACAAAACAAATATAAAGCATTGATGATTTCCTACTACCTATAGGATTAAGTCTCAAATACTAAGCATAGAATTAAAATATTTTTACAACCTAATCCCAATCTAATTGCCTTGTCTCTTTCCCATCACCCATTGTCATATAATCTAGTCTCTATTCTAGCCACATTGAATTCATTACACGTCCCCCAACCTGCCATGCACACACCCACATACCTGCTTTTTCATATGCCAAATACTCTTCCTGGGTTGAATGGATTGCAGCACTAACCACATTGAATTACGGTTAGTTATTTTTATTTTTTTTTAAATAAAAATCTATGTTTTTGCTCATAGATTATGAACTTCTAAAAGGCAGGGTCATAGCAGGAACTCTATCTTGCCCAACACCTGCCACTGTGTTGGGTAGATAGTAGGTTTTCAATAAATAACAGCAGCTACAAAAATAGTAATCACTTGTATAGTATTTACTGTATTGAATGAATAGGGAAATTAATAATTCTACATCAACAAAATACTTGTTGAATAATTACTATGTTAGAGATTTTCACATACAAGTATTATTCAGTTTATACCACAACCTTGTAAGACAGATGCTCTCTTTCCTTCATAAATGAAAGTAAATAGATAAGTAATTTTCTCTGGGTCCACAATAAATGGTCAATCTAAAAATTCAACCTAGACTTCAAAACCTAATAAATCTCACCAGGTAGATTAATACCATGCTCTATACCTAAGTAATAACCTTTAGTTCTTTTTAAATCCCAAGGCTATATAAATTGATTCTTTTTCTCCTAAAATGTCTTTTAATAATTGACATTGAGAAATGATCATTATATATAAAAAGGTACCTAGTTGTTGAAAGAGCACTTCCTGCATTTTTGCAGCATTTTAGAACATCAGTGTTAAACCTTGTGAAAAAGATTCTCTACATCCTGACAGGGAGACTTCCTTCAGCTTTTGCTCATTTGCTAAAGGACAAAACGCTGGGCTAAGAGTTCACAATGCTCCTTTTGCAAACAAAAGATTCTATTAATTAATCATTCAATCAATCAACCATTCACTTAGTGAATGAAAACTGTGCTTAGCCATACATTGATTAAAAAAAAAAAACTTAAAGATCAAAATTCCTTTTGTTCTGCTCCTGCTCATAAAAGCCTGTTTTCTATTTTTCAATTTTTAGGGGGTTTTTTGGTTACAACTCTATCAGTTTCAATGAATTATTCCAAATCTTAAACAAATTAACTGAATTTTAGTACAAGGGAAAAGTCCATTCCCTCAATGTGTCTCATTGTGCCAGACTTAATACCAAAGCACATTTTAAAACAAACATGTTTCACTAATTTGAAATATCTTTTGATAATCAATGACAGTTCCTATCTGTAAGCATTTAGCAAGCTTAAGCTAGAATCAATCAATTCAGTGAATGCCTTTGATTAAAAAATCATTAATTTCAACATAAACTAATTTTTAAGACAATAAACAATGAATATACACTTTCACAATAATCATAGCACAACTTGGAAGAGACTAATTAATAAAACGTGCCACATTTTCACATGCCTATAGAAATAATATTTTTAATACTTTAACCCAGTTTACTAAGACAAGCTTTGTGCTTTAATCACAGGTCATAATAGAGATCAAAATCAAAAGCTATTATTAATTTTCATCTGCAGAGCTAAATCTGAATTTACCTTGTTTGCAATACTTGTGATGAATGATTTGATATCTAGATTCGTTGGACAGCTTTTCTGACATGGGGCATCGGCACATTTCAGGCATCTAGGGAATAAAATAACTGGATTAAAGAAACTACAAAGGAATTGATATAATATTCTATACATTCTCTATTATACCCATACTCTATACCCATTCAGAGTTTAAGTAAGAACAAATAGAATTGTACTATTTTCAGGTACAAAATCTTTTTTTAAGCAATAAAGTAAACATAGAGTACCTGTGTTTCACTTTTTGCACAACTTCTGAGATGTACAAAATAGCACCACTCAGGCTAATAACTGCCCTTCCTCTTGGTGTTCCTCCTAGAGGTTGAGGATCATACTTATTAAAGATACATCATTTACTCATTTACTAAATCAATCTTGTTTTCATCCCTCGCTACACTGACCATGCTTAGAGAACGCAGACTTTTTTTTTTTTTTTTGTGAGGAGATCAGCCCTGTGCTAACATCCGCCAATCCTCCTTTTTTGCTGAGGAAGACGGCCCTGGGCTAACATCTGTGCCCATCTTCCTCCACTTTATATGGGACGCCGCCACAGCATGGCTTGCCAAGCAGTGCGTCTGTGCACGCCCGGGATCCGAACCAGCGAACCCCGGGCCGCCGCAGCGGAGGGCGCGCACCCAACAGCTTGCGCCACCGGCCCGCCCCGAGAACGCAGACTTTTATAAGAGTTTTTTATGCCTTGTAGACCACAATTATTATACAAATGCAACGGTAAAGTCTCTCCTTTGACTTGTAACTCCTTTCTTCCTCCCTTACCCTCCCACTTTCCCTCCTGCCTTTCCTCTCACCTTCCCTCCCTGCCTCCTTCTTTCCCTCCCATCATCCCTCGCTCCCTCCAACTTTCTGATGTCTTTTAACCTACACACTATCCACATGGCGACTGGGTTTTGTAGTAGATGCTTCAGTGCACAGCCCAGATCCACCCCCTTCCAGACTGAAGCATTTACGCCCCCAGCTGCTGTGCCCTCAGCTGAAGAGAACAAGCTGAAGCAAGGTCATGCTCCCTTTCCAGTGGCAGCCCACATCCAATCACAGGTCATTGAGCGGGTTAGAGGCCCAGTCCCCTTGCCCCACTTTGGGGAACAAGTCTGCAGGGATCCACTGTAGCCTTACTGCGGCTATGTCTACCCAGTCCTGATTCCTTCACTCTCCTACAGATGATGGTCTTCAAATACACTTCCTGCCTACTAATCTGTCTCAGAATCTGCTTCCGAGGGAACTGACCAGAGACACGCTCAAACTTCAATGTGCCTAAGAACCACCTAGGAAGCTTGATAATCATCTTGGTTTCCACAGAGGAGCCACTCACAAGTCTGAGTTATGGACCTGGGAGTCTGCATTTTGGAAAAAAACCCATTAAGGTGATTCTGATATACATGGTTCAATCCACACAGGGAAAATCACAATTCTATAATTACTACTTCAGGACTAAAACCACTGGCTAGAATGTACATTAACTTGTATATTTATTTGTTCATTTATTCATTCATTTAATAAATATTTAATGAGCCCCTGCTCCATGACAGAACCTGGGATACGAGATTATAAAAGCAGTGAACAAGACCACCATAGTCCTGCTCTCACGGACCTTGTAGTTTGGAGAAAGTATAGACATACTACAGGCAACTGTAGCAGTTAATGTGGTCAATGTGAATTTGGGTGAAAACAGCATGCTAAGAGAGCATACAAGAGGAACAGTAGTCCTGAAGGGAGAGAGTCAGGAAAAGATCTTGGAGAGGAATAATACTTAAAGGGAAGCTGGAAGAATGAGTGGGCATTAGGGAAGCTAAGGAGGGTGGGACGTGGAGCACAAGGTCACTCAAGAAAATGGCCCAAGAATAGAAATAGTTTGTGCCAAGGCCTGGAGAGAAAAGAATACGATAGGGTAGGTGAACTAATGGAATTTGGTCTGACATAAAGTGAGAGTGGGCATAGAGAAAAATTAGGCTAGAGATCTAAAACTTAAGATATACCACTGTCACATTTGTCAGAAGACCATAATTCTCCAAGAATTTCACTGAGAATGAATCCTACATTGCTCAGTGACAAAGGTGAATAGCTAGCTCATTTTCTATCCACTTCCATGTGTAAAGACCTTCATTTCCTTCCAGAAAACAATACCAGTCTCCTTGTCATTCTTTTGTGGGTAGGAGAGTCCTCTTCATTGTCTGAACCAATTCCTCAGTACCTAATTAATATCTTGTTTTTAAATCTGATCTCTTTTCTCTGGTTTGTGCCCTTAGCCTTCTCTCTAAATTAAATTTTACACAATGAGTACCGAAGGCTTTTCATAATCAATTGTCCTCTCTGAAATGTAGTCATTAAACCTCTCCCCTATCATTTCTCTAAATGCCATTGTTAGATTCACATCTATCATTTAGTTGAATTCCTATCTTTTCATACTTATGATTTTTTTTCCCTAAAACACTGTCACTGAGTTTAAAAAGAATTTCTTGAAGCTAAGATCAGCAGCACACATTGCATAACAATGCAAAAGGAGCATAATACACGGTCTATTTGGACCTTGACGTTGAAATGAGGTGATACTTAGGTGTGTTATCCTCACATGGATATGTTGAGCATTGATAATGGTTTGAAAGGATTTCCTATTATGTGATAAAATAACTAAAAATTTAGCAAATAATAGGCCATCTTTTAAATATCTTCTAATTTATAAAAAAGTTATTTCAACAGTTTTGACAGGGCCGGCTCCGTGGCTTAGCGGTTAAGTGCGCGCGCTCTGATGCTGGCGGCCCGGGTTCGGATCCCGGGCGCGCCCCGAGGCACCACTTCTCCGTCCAACGCGAGGCCGAGTCCCATGTACAGCAACTAGAAGGATGTGAACCTATGACATACAACTATTTACTGGGGCTTTGGGGGGAAAAAAATGAATAAATAAAATCTTTAAAAAAAAAAAAAAACAGTTTTGACAATATCTGCCATTCCATTGGAATAAAGCAAGACATATATTTGTTTTTTATATATATATAGATATGTATAAATACTTATATCAAACATATAGATTCTGGCTATCCATAATGAAGTCACAAGTTTTCTGCTTATCTTTTTTCTAACACCCAACTTGAATAATAAGGCAATTAAAAAATAAAGTTATAATGTCAGCAGGTATGAATGAGCCAAATTAATGCACAGTGTGTTTTTCGGTTCTTCTAGAGAAATCTTAAATTCAACATAAACAGATTCACTTAACAGCACTGACAATGTAAGGATTTTTAGTTGTGGTTATTAAGCCTCTTTACCAAATAATTCTCCTTTTATTATTGAGCTAGTTCACAAATAACAGCTGTTGGAAATGTCAGATGTTAATGAGGCAGGGCAACGCAAACCTGAATTGTAGCATTCTTTTTTTCTTTGGTGCCATGAATATGCCAGAATGGGCAGACTCTGATAATAATACCATCTTGCAATTCTCTAAGCGCTCTGCAGACTAAAGTGCATCAGGCTGCCATTAATCCCACTTATCACTCTGACAGCTCAGTAATTACACTACTGCTATAGCCAGGTAGTCCTAATAAAATATCAACCACTGCACTGGAATGCATACTGGTGAGATGTTTTATTAAACCTGGGGGGGGGGGTTGATCATCAAGTGACATTAGTGTTGACCTATTTTTCTATTTGACAATAAATTATCCTTTGACCATGCCATAATAGATATTACAGAGTGCATTTACTGTACCAAATCAGAAAGGTACTGCATTACAATGATGTAGGCAAATGGTGTAAATAAAATAGCAGAAATGCATGTCAGAATGTTATTACCTAAATTGCTTTAAATGATTGATACCGTGAAAAATCACAGACACAGTACTTAAGGGAATATGTCAACAATTATTGTAAACCACAGTTCTACATAAATTTTTCCTTAGAAGTAACATTTAAATTACACTTGTTTTTATCTTCAGTCATTTAATTCCCCTTTTATGTTTCAAAGTTACTCTGTTATTAGACAGTTTATTTTTAAATGCATTCTAAAAGGGAAAGTTAATTCAGATAAACAATTATGTAATATTTTTCATCCCCAAATAATTACACTTTTACTAAGAGGAGTATATTAGATTATTTTTTAAAGCAATAAAATATCTTAGATTTTTTACTAGTGATAAACTTTTTTCATTTCCATATTTAATAGACAACATAACAATGGATTTCATTAAAAGCAAAATATAGAATCCTTAATAATGTTAATCCTTCATGATTCAACATGACCGTAAAAAATGTATGAAAACTAGTACTGCTACCTAAGGGACAAAAACTGTTAAAGATATATTTATCCAGATCTTTCTCTAGGGAAAGAGAGCCACGATTCCTTGCCCCAAATATCCTCGAGGCTGGACAGTTTTACTCTGTAGTGTGACACCAAAAAATATTATAGTGACTAACGACATGAGCAACATTTCATTCTTCACACATCTGAGAACAGCCACCTGCTTCTTTTATTGTTAAGCATCCACAACAGTCAGAATTGTAACCCATGTTTGTTGAATGTTCTAATCCATGACTTTAATATTTTTTTTTTTCTTTTTCTTTTTCTTTTTTTTTTTGTGAGGAAGATCAGCCCTGAGCTAACATCCATGTTAATCCTCCTCTTTTTGCTGAGGAAGACGGCCCTGGGCTAACATCTATTGCCAATCCTCTTCCTTTTTTTTTTTCCCCCAAAGCCCCAGTAGATAGTTGTATGTCATAGTTGCACATCCTTCTAGCTGCTATATGTGGGACGCGGCCTCAGCATGGCCGGAGAAGCGGTGCGTTGGTGCGCGCCTGGGATCCGAACCCGGGCTGCCAGTACCGGAGAGCATGCACTTAACCGCTAAGCCACGGGGCCGGCCCTAATCCATGACTTTAAATAACAATTTCTTTCTCAGTAAAAAAAAAAAAAATCACACAAATCTATTTGAAAGCTGTAAAGCCTCATATTGTATTTATTGTCTTTGGTGTTTTGCTAGACTTTGGTTCAATCAAGTCAGCACTGTTTCATCAGGCTATGTATAATCTATATTAGTCCATACATAATCA